CAATAATATWACGAAAACCGTACATCAGTACGAAAAACGAAAGACAACTGAAATGCWTGAACCATTCAAGATTCCGATCTTAATAACCCTACAACTACAAATTATAATATATCTCTACAAAATACCAATACCGTAAGCTTCGCTTCGAAAGTGGCCTCCGAACAACTAACAAAACGAGAATTAGCTATAGTATTCAACAACATCGAGAATATACCACAAATCGAATATCTTATCGCCCTCGGCAAATTAATTCCGCCGAAAAACATTACATAATATGCTTCATGTGTATTTAATGGCCATTTTTGTGTATATTTATTTAACAAGTATACAATCGACAACCTCCTAGCCAACCATCAAAACATCACAGTTAACAATCAGATCATCAATATTTGTCGACTCATTAACCCAGCAAAAAATCTAATTTTATCTAATGTATGTCCAACTAGTGAGATTATCGAATCTAGCTTGATTAATGACGGTTTGATTTTAGTTTCTCCGATTATTAAACTAAGAGCCGGATTTAATATAGAAGGTTTTACACATATAATGAGTTTCAAAAGACAAATTTTTGCCAAACGAGATGTTAGTGAAAACAAACCAACTTCGATTTTAATTAATTACGATGATATTGCATGCAGAATATTTATAAATGATGACATGGTTACTTGTTTCCATTGCAAACTAAAAGGGCACATATCAAATCAATGCCCAAATCTAAAAACAACACAAAACGAAACACCTATTATTACCCCCCTCCCCCCACCGAAAAAAATATAACCGAAAACATGACATTAGCACCTTTAGCAAGTTACTTGAAAAAATCGTGAGCAAAAGATTATACTGGACACTAAAACAATATAATTTTATCAGMAACTAACAATTTGGTTTTCAAAGGAACAAATCCACCATAGATGCCTAAATGCCTTGACTATAGTAACAGAAGACATAATATACTCAGCTTTCAATATAAAGCAACATRTTTTATTAACCTCACTTGACATAGAAAAAGTTTACGATATGGTTTGGCACTATTGAATATTAGACCAACTCCAGAAGCAAAAAATTAATGGTAATATACTCGCATACATTGCAAACTTTTTATCAGAACGATCGTTCTCAGTAAAATTAAATGTAAAAAAAAACATACTCCGACTACTTTAGACTCATAAACGGTATACCTCAAGAATCTAGCTTTAGTGTCAAACTTTTTATAATAGTTATTAACGAACTTCCTAGTATTATACCAGCTCCTCTCAAAACCGTTATGTTTGCCGACGATACCAACATATATTGCAAAGGAAGAAATATAAACACATCAAAAACTCTCATGCAAAAAGCCATCGAAGAAATCTGCAAATGGGAAAAATCTACAGGGTTTAAATTTGGGTCAATCAAAAACCAATCACTATTATTCACATTTATTCAAAATGAAAGAAAATTGTTTAAATATTCCATTCGTCCATGACTGTATTATTGTAAAATCAAATAAGCTTGTTTGGTTATGAGTTTTGATTGTATGAATTATGAATATCAACATAACTACACCGGTTTGACAGTCCATTATTTGCAGGTCATATGTGCATTCATTGATCCATTGATCAAAAACTAAATTAAATAAAATACTCACAAATTATAATACGAAATTGTGTAGCATTTTATTTTACTGAATATTGTTCTATATACTTATACGAATGTCACATTCTGATACTTAAAAAACAGTCAATTCATTTTCCAAAATGTAGCATTTCAAACGTGTTTCATGATAACCTTTAATCTAATAATGAAACGTCTACCATTTTCAAAACATGGTACTAAGTACGTTGGCATCCACAAATTCTTTTTAAAGCAATTTATAATAGATTTTATACAGTWTATTTAATATATAAAGTAATAGATAGACACATGAATCTATTTTAGTTTTTTTTACAGTTTAGTCAGTTTACACTTAATGTTAATATATTTTTAGATATACCTGTCTGTAGATATTGTATCTTGATGATCTGGGCAATATCTTAGATACCAATATTTAAGATACAATAAATTGTATCTTGAATTTTTGTATCATGCATCGTGTATTTAAATATTTTTTTACTTGTATATGGTATATTTTTATGATTAAGAGGACGCTACACCCACATGTGTTGTCTCCGTCTTACAAGTGCGTAACATTACAAAAACTGTTTCGCGCGAGAAAGAACCGAGAAAGATACAGTTATAACTAAGAAATGAAATTTTCACCACATAAAAAGGAGAATTTTGTCTGTGCAATATCGTTTTTATTTTTTCGATATTAGAACTACAAAAAAAGTTATTCATGTTTAAAAAACACAAAA